GCAGGAGATCATAATTCAGATGCAGTTATTCTTTCTTCCTCCACAACCTGGTCCTTGAGCTGCTTGTACTTTGCCTTTTTCGATAATGATATTTCGATGATGGAATGAGCAGAATGAAGTATGTACAGACGACAGAAACAATTTCTTCCCGTTTATGCTTCAAAACTTTATTATTGACAGGGCACAACAACTGCTGTTTGCATGTATGTAGAACGGGCTGATTGAATCCTTAGACTGGTTGATTTATGTGTGTTTCGCTGTGCAGATTTCTAAATGTATGTTTATGTTTATTTCATGGAGACCAGCACTTATTACGAGTGCACTATTATTTTAGAGAACTGCTGCATACTAAAAACTTTGAATGTTCTGGTGACTGCTAGAACTAGTAGTAGTAACTGCTAGTCGAACTTTTATTTTTGCACAAATTGGGTCGTAAGTCAGTATCGTTAAGTTATGATTAAAATGTGGCCAAGCACAAACAATAACTTTAGTACTTTGGTTGGTAATAATATAGTTAAATTAGCGACAGGAAATATATTATCCTTTACGTCTTGGTTGCTTCGTTAAAGTTGTGACTCATGCACTTGTTATGTAGTTACTTGTCGCAGGTACCCAATTGGTGAAACTCGGGCATTAACTTGCTTCGTTTGGTGCCAGGTTATGTCATAAAAAGACGAAAAATGACGCGTCTCAAGTTTGCCAACTATGTATTCCGTACCACCACGCGCACTCAAAACCACTCTCACGATTGTTTATGGGTTAACAACGAGAGGAATTTTCCATCCCCCAGTTTACCAATTTGCTAATGAGTTGATGCATTGTACTCTTGAACTCTTTTGTCATTTATATGTACAACAACGACCAAAGGTCCTGCTCGTTTCCTGCCTCGCTTCCTCGCCGCTCTGCTTACCACAGCATAATCACAAAACTGATTTCACTTTGGCCAATTGCGGTTCCGCTCTTTTGCTGCTGCTCGAGGTTCAGAAAACAAAGCATTCTGTAGCAATCAGTCATAGATTGAAAGGTTATTACGCATACGACGTCTCAGATTGTATTACACACGGAACTAGAGCATCACTTTAAAGAAAGAACCTGAGATGATCTCCACAATTTTTGTTTTCAGTGACATATTAGAGGCCGATTAGATGTCCCGTCGTACAGGAATTTGCTTATTGGTCGTAACCTTCTTTATGATCGTTTTTTTAAAGGAAGCAGAGTTAAAAAAAAGTTCAGTCGGAGTATTGGGTTTCTGTCACTCAACAAACAAAGGGGGAAGTTGCTACAGTGCACTTTTTCTTTGAGAATGCGAACGAGCAAAAGTCAAAGTGAGCCAAAGGATTGATGAGAAACAACAGTTTGAGTCAGTGAGCAAGCAAGTATTGTATTAAAATGTTTGAGAAATCAGCCACGACTATTTGTCGTGTCGTAAGTTATGTTGCTGGTTTTTTTACAAGTTACTCACTGGGAACTCATGCAGCAAGTCAAGAAGACGCACTCCACTCTTTAGCCTAGTTTACGATTATCTATTGTGCAAGGAATAGCAATGAATGGGCGAGAGAGCAGCATCGGACCAAATGCCAAAGTAGAGATATAAAACCGTCGTGTGCGGATCTAGTGCTTTCCTTCAGCGATTTCCTTCCGCCGTGGTGTTACACTATTTATTGGTGGTTCCACTTTGCTGTTTAGAGCTGGAAGGAAACTACTGGACACACACACACACACGAGAAGAGTAAAGTAAATGCCGTCGAGTCTGAGGGAATTCTTTTAGTATGAAACTGGCATGAAACCAGCGGAACCGAGTTCTTTTCCAGTTTCAGATTAAAGTCACGGCACGAGTGTGAAGTGCGAGTATCAATCCAAATTGCAGCAGCAATAACAGGGCACCGTCGCACTTTCCCTTATTTTCTAGAGAGAAAAAAAAGTACCCAGAAGAAGAAGATCCACGACCGCAGATCCAAATTACGCTGGAGTGAAAGTGGTGTGACTTTTAGTTCATGCTCAACTTTTGCATGAATGTTTTCTCGTCCACCTGCTCCTACAAACTGAGCCGCTGTGCCCCACCGTCAACACATTTCTACTACTCCTACGACGACGACTTCATAATGTTGCATTGGGGTAAAAAGTGGGAAGGCTGACGTTGGTTGATGCGACTTTGAGTTTGACCCACCTCTGCGTTTCACTAGTTTTGTTTATGTATTGATGCAGACATGGTTTTGGTTGGTGCAGTGGTCTGGCGACTTTCCGAATTTTAGAATTGGACTGGTTAGTTGGTTGGTTCTTCTGCTGCTGCTGCTGCTGGTTGTTAGATTTTGCGAGGGTGGTTGCAAAATTGAACCGATCCAGAGAATAATAGACGAATGTACGAAACTGCATCAAAGTTACGTTATGTTATATATGCATACGAAGAGGCGTACTGCACTCACCATCACACCGCTAGTTTGCCTACTTCTTGCTTTACTAGTTAGTTTCAGTTTCTTTAGCACAGGGAAATAATGGTAGGGGAGCAGGGTAATACATAGTTTATCGTACCACCGAGTTTCTCAGTCGTCTCAATGAGTTTGGCTGCTAATCGCCTCGTGTTTGTTTCCGTATTCATGGAATTACATACCTTTCTTCGCCATTATATGTTGGATGGCAATTCGTTTGAATTTGTTGCAATGATACATTGTGTATACATGGTCCTGAACGTGATGGAGGAAGTTGGGGGAAAGTTGGTTCGATTCATTCCTAGAAATTATTTGTCACCTTCTATAGAATTAACGGGGAAGGATGTTGGATGTACACAATTATGTTGCACTGATGTCCTTCCACATTCTTTGGATATCTAGAAATCGAAACTCAATATATGGTTGTCGTATATACTTATACCTTGGCAGGGAACCATTCATTTTGATTAACAAAATCATAGTAATGACACATAAATTGATATTATAATCAATTGTCTCGTCCAGACGACTTCCGGTCATTTAATGTCGCTTGCCTAGAACCAAGTTAATGGTAATTGTCGATATTTTCAAACATATTTTATGCATGACTTGATGGCACAAGTGATTCCTTTCTAGATGATTCGATTCATTTACGTATAATTATTTATTGGGTTTTGTGAAAAATGAACGAGTACGCTCATTCTGCGTATTGAGATCCTTGAACTTTCTAAAATTAGCTATAAGAAGAGCCAGATGCTAAATTTTAGCATTTCGCTAACAAATTGAAAACGTCAGGAGTCGATGGTGATTTAGGTAAAGCATGAAAGGAATCACAATAAAACATTAATACACGCATAAAACTGTATACGTGCATGCATACCCGACCCGAGTCATGGTGTTGTGTTGTTCAACAACGTCAATGTGCAAATTAAATGCTCCATTTTGCCATGTCCATGCATTACACTGGCAACAACTGGGCCAGTTTTGAATTTATACGCCCTCCATTTGGTATTGACATCGAACTGCCACAGAACTGCAGGCATTGAAGTCATGCCGCACAGGCTGAGAAATATTTTTATATTGCATTGGAATTTGACGATCAGAACTGGCACAGTTATTCCGAAGCAGTCATAGTAAAATAAAACCTTTGCAAATGTGTGTAACCAATTCAATGGGTGGGACCAAATACGTCATAAGGCTTTGAGTAAAGCAGTAAAATGTCAAAACTATTTATGATCAGTGTGGAAATCAGTTTAAAATGACAATTCCACACACTCCCGAAGTGGATTTTTAGGCGCTTATTGGTGTCGCTGCAAGCGGTTGACCTACAGCGCTCAAATTCTAGTTAGTCCTATCCATAGATCCTGCATATTATGTTTTGTTGAATTTGTTTTCTAAGGTACAGGTCTCTCTGTTACGGCAGCTCTCGTCAGAAGACGTTTATAACTAAATACCATAAATAACACTCGAGTTCATTTTTGTACTTGCATCGATATTGGTTATGCACATATGCATGTCTCTCACTTGGAGTTTACTTACCAATAAAAATGGCAAATGATATATGCATAAAATTCATTTCTGCATGGATATCATTGCTCAAAGAGTTGTCCATGGTACATAACATATCTATGTACTAGGTATCTAGGTAGTGCAGTCTTCCAGATTCCGTTACATCTCACATACAACTTCTCAAAGAATCATTACAGATTTTGGCTCTTCAAACTTTGAAAAATTCTTCCAGGCATTAATAATTAAGGCATATAGTTTAATCTCATAAATGCTAAAATCAAAGTACTAAATTCAAGCAATATTGTATTATTGCAAGTTTGCTCATATACATTTAGGCTTACGTATGATGACACACCTATATCACCCAGTCTTTAGCTCGATTAATTTATACATATTAACATTTCCATTAATAGTGATTTGACTACCTTGAGTGATGAAGCAATGATTGACACGCACGCTGAATAGGCTTTCACTTTTATGGGAACCCGGAAATTAGCTTTCGCCCCATGTGGCATAATGAGTCTTGGTGGCTGCTATCTAGACTACATTTTTAATAAAGTCATTCGGCAGAACTAAACTAATCAACCCTACAACTCTTACGCATGGGTGTGAGATTTCCTCCGCAGGTCAAACATGGCTTCTGAGACTGTTCTGAATTTAAAGTATCAGAAGTCATTGGAATGCGCGCACCTACTTACGTTCTAAAATGACAACTTAAAAGAGTACTTACTGTTTGTATTGTCGTTGCATGAAAATCATTATATACTGTAAGCATCAAATTTCAGTTTTCCATGGCCATATTCGCAATTTATGTAAGTCCACACCCATGGTTCAACTTTTAATGTGACTCGGTCTCCACGTGTTCATGAGTTATCAAAAGACGACAATCAGATCCGAAGGGGTAGACAAGCCTAAACCTCGATGATACATCTAAATCAGGGACAAATCGTTTGGCCTAGCATTTGGAGAAAGTAGACTAAGAAGCTGAATGGCACAAAAGACGGGTCTCAGCCAACCCAACCACTTTCACCAACTGTGGCAACTCTACAGTTCAAATCCCAACTACGAGCTGCAGTTGAGCTTTGGAATCTCAATCTCAAGGAACAACAATAATTATAATATTTTAACAGAACTGTTAACAATTGATTGTATTATTTACTAGGAGTTAAAAAGTAGTGTAGTTGCTTAATCTATGTTAAGGATTTATCAGTAGTTTACGGACGTTGGGAGAAATGGAAACGTGTAGATATTCAAATTCAAGTTTGTAGTTTTTTTATAAATTATGAATTAAAATTTTGATTGACGGATGACGGACGAAGAGAGTCTGAGATTTTATTTGGTTTGATTAGTTATATTTATATTGTTCGATCTTAAAATAAACTTTTAGTTCAGTTCGTATGCAGTATGACATTAGCAATTCAAAATTTCAAATTTACCTTACGTTTCTGGTTAAAGTTCTAAAAGTTATTTGAAGAAAGTGTGTCAATAAATCTACTCTGTAAAGTGTAACGTAATATGGATTTTAAGAAAAAGTTAAAAAATCTTCTGCAGAAAGAGGTATTTGTGTAGCAAATTTTGTGTTTGATTTTGTTTATGCATAATAAATTGGTTTTGGTTCGATTTCAGGGGTTCCAAAAAGTTCAAAAGGTTCTGTCTCCTTCGTCCAGTCACAATCATTCCGCGGGTGTGGATAGTTCTTTTTTGGTGCCCTCTGTTCAACAATTTCGTACAATTAATAGAGATCCAGAGGCTGAACTTCGAAGTCACCCAAGTGTAATAACGATGTTTTAGCATTGCTTCATGTTATAATCAATTACATTAGTGATTAAGGATTTCCAGAATTCATTCGTGTTTGACTGTTTTACAGGATCCAGAGGCTGACGATGCTATTTTAAAAACTATCATTCCTTCCTTGTTTGCGACAGAAGTGGACCCCAGTTTGTATGAGCTTGAAGTACGATGCACATTAATGAAACATGTGCCAAGGAGGTTTAATTTGAGCTTACTTAATACTTTGTAGAAGTTGCCGGATCCTTTGGATAGAGAATATATTCAACTGGCCAGGTGTGCAACAAAAAAATTCACGTTCAACATTCAACACAATAAAATAATAATATTTAGTCTTTTCTTCTAACATCAACAAGTGCATATTTGTCAGACTTAAAACAAATCTGTTCAGTATTATAAACTTAAAAGTATATGAATCAATTTGTCAAGCTCGAAAAGGAGCTTATTAATTTGAAACGATGGATTATGATCTAACGCTTAATATATTTGTCCTCCTCACAGGCAGCGTGTTTTGAAAGAGCTGACGGTGGTCTCGAAAAAAGTATTTCAACTGGTTCTAGAAAAACAGTCTTGTTATTCGGGAGAGATTCAGCGGTAATTATTATATATTGATTTTAGTGTCTTCTTTAATTTTACATACTTATTAATGTATTTATATTTGTAGTGTTCGCGAGATTGAAGACGACTTAGAAGCTGCAATTTTTACGTGCACCGAAAGTAGGGCAGACTTGGCCATAGCAAAGCAACATTTTACAACAAAAAGTCTAGGAATATTGGCAAACTATCGCAAAAGACAGGCTGCATTAAATCTTCTTGGCTCTCTCAGAACAATTGACACATTAGTATGTTTAATGAATAGCTTAATTATTTTTTAATAATAGCTAATTTAATGATAATCAATTTTATATTCCTTATTTGTAGCAAAGAACAGAACTTCGTTTAAAAGAACTTTTGACTGAAGAGGATTATCCTGGTTAGTTGTATAGGAGAAAAATAAGACCTGAACATGAAATTTAACTTAAACACATGAACTGATTTGATTGACAATCATAATCCTCAGTCAGTGCCTGTGCTGTTACCAGTTTTAAGTTGCATTTCACGTTCCGTTACTAAAAAAACAACAGGTAACTGTAATAATTCGCATTATTATATATAGGTGCCATCAAGTTATTGCTCGAGTGTCAGCAAGTTGCCGTCACATTCAGTCATTTTACATGCATCTCTGATTTATCAAAAAAACTTCAAGAAACTTTGGAAAACGCAGAAGAACAATTAGACGTATCCCTATCCAAGGTATACTTACAAATATAATCTAGATTTGAACATCCATCCATATGGAAGTAAGAAATGATTTGTTGTCTTTTGAATAGGTGTGTTTATATTTTGACAATCAAAATTACAATAAACTTCAAAAAGCGTACCAACTCCTTGGGAAAACCCAAACTCAAGTGGATCAATTGTTAATGCATTACACATCCGCGATCCATAATACTGCTTTTAGCGTCGTTCATGGGTTTGCTGAGCTATGTCGTTCCGAGGATATATCTGGAGGAAATCTACAAAAAAAGCAATACCAAGATATATGTGCTGTAAGACTCCTACTTGCTTATGTATACATTTGTTTACTGTAATCCTTACTATTTGGTGCTAAATACAACCTCATTTTGTTTTATGTAGTGTTTGACTGCTGACATATTTATTCCCTGCTTGGTGGAACTGTGTAAAGCCTTGTGGAAAATAATCCTAAGTTATTTCAAGCTCACCGCGTGGCACAAAACTAATTCCGAAAGAGTTGCAGGTACATGCGTCATTTATTTTTCTGCTAAATAAATGTCTACTCTCCTTACTATAGAAATACTAACCATTTCTACTTTATTTTTACAGATGCAAGTGGAGAAATTGACATCAATCAGGAATATGTTAATCAGAAATTAAGCAGCGGATCCACCCGACTTTGGCAAGACATTCAGACAAAAGTAAAAACATTCCTACTGGCGATTGATTTCACTGGCTTCAAAATTGACGACTTTATGCAGATTCTTTCAATCATTTATAAGTAAGAGTATGAACAAGATGTATTTTGGTTTGTTAACTATTGAATTATTGTTAAAAATTGTATTTATTACAGTTTACAAGCCGTGGGACTTCAATTTTGCACTAGTGAATCTGAATCTTTGCAAGATTGTGTTCGACAAGCAAGCCTTCGTTATTTTCAACGGTACTAGTAATTTTGTTAATTAGTTAAATTTATTTAATCAAGTCAATGTAAATAATTCCAAAATAATGAATCCGTTGGGTTGAACTGTATATTATACAAATGTATGGAAACAAATAGCAAAGTGATTTGTTATTTCAGATACCATGAAACTAAACTAGACGAGATTCGAATATTCATTGAAAGTGAAGGATGGCAAATGTGTCCTGTTAGATCGGACTTTGATTTAATTCAGTTGATGGTATGAATTATAAAGATTTCATTTGACTCACGTTCCTATATTTTAATTCATTCGTTTCAGGAATTCAAGTTTCTTAAAAACCAGAACTTGTGTTCCGTTGATTCGCAATCTGCTGCTATTACTGAGGGCATATTTGACAAATACTTGGAATCCGGATCCCCTTTCGAAATAAAGAAGGACGAATCAGAGGAAAACATTTACGCGATCGCGGTAAATTACAAAACTTTGAATTACTGCTAGTACTCTTAATTCATCAATTAAATTGTCTATTATTTATTTCAGAGCTTTTTAATTAATTAGTGAAATCAATTAATTTGCTAATTAACTACCAATTTTCAGCTAATTAACAATTATAAATTAGTTTTAATTACCTTACTAGAGTAATTAAACTGAGTCAATTATAATTAATTAGTTTCGTGATATTTTAACCAATTAATTAATTAACTAATTAATTACTTAATTTTTGAGATTTATCTGGTTTGCGCTGTTTCGTTTTCCCAGGTAAAGTGGCGTTTTTTAATCTGGCAACTCTCCTATTCTACATGACTTATTTTCAAGCCCTCATAATTAAATTTCATGCAATAATTTCAACTTTGTTACAATAAATAACTGCATACTGTAAAGTATATAAGTGCCAATAATGGAAGACGATATTCTCAAAAATTAATATGAAAATCTTAACAAACTAACAATGTCAATACTCAAATACCATCATCAGCTCCAGTTGAACTTTACTTGATGGACTGATTATAATCATTCCATCAATTAAAGGATACATAAATGTATCCGAAATATGGGCGATGTTAAAATGTAACGATTATTATAAATTTGAGTTGCCGGTAATTATTTCTGCCGTCCGTAATTTTATATTGTAGCTTGTAAATTTGCGTTGAAAACAATTCTTTTTTTAACTAATTAATTATTTTTCGAGAAGTAATTAATTACTTTTTTTAGAAGTAATTAATTAGTAATTATAATTAATTAGTTGAAGCTCTCTAATTAAAAATTGATAATTAATTAGATTAAAGATGTCAGCGCTAATTATTAATTACTAATTAATTATTCTTTGCGTTAATTAAAAAGCTCTGATTTATTTGTATCCTAATTAGGACATGAGAAATGACAATCAAGATAATAATTTGAGTCATCATAATAGCACGGATGAGAAAGATCAACCGATCATGACAAACACAACTCTATCTATAGTAAGATTATTCGGAAGGTACGCAAAAAATTAAATGCATGATAAGCATGTAATGTTAGTAGTATAAATTAATAAATTTTCCCATAATTTTATTTAGGTATTTGCACATGATGCATCTATTGAAAGCAATTGCATATGATGTTGCAATTTCAATGAGTCAACTATTTGAATACTATTTCTACTCTGTGTTCGTTTTCTTTGCAACAGAGAATGTAAGTTTTTTATCAAATTGCAAAAATTCCTTATCTGGATAATTTTTATGTTACCTTTTCAGGGGGATGTGACTATTGAATCCTTGTCTAATGCACAGCTTCGTGTCGCTTTGAGCAGAATCAGAGACAATTTAATTAGACGCGATGGTGATGTTTCAACCGGGAAGGTATTTTAGCCGCAAATTGTTAATTGTTATGGCTCTCTAAAATTGCAAGATGCAATTAAATCTAGGTGACATGTCCTGTGCCTCAAATCGAGATAGATTTACGTGATGAAAATAATTTATTCGGGCTGGCTGAACGCGTTGTTAGCTCTGAATCCTGTGTGCAGGTACGTTTGTTTGCGCGAGCCAGTACATTTCATCATATTTAAGTCATTATCAACAAAAATTGAAACAAACAGCAATATCAATACTTTTGCATTGATAATTGTGACAATGTTTGTAATTTTTCATAAATACGCAGAAATGTCTCATGTGTGTAGAATGTAGCATTTAGGATAATCATCTAGAATATGATTCTACTTACAGTAACAAATTAGACATTTTTTTATTTTTCAGCTTTCTCTGCAACTTGACAAGTTAAAATCTTACATGCAACTTCACATTAGTTCTTCCAATTGGGATTCTATTGCTCAACTTGTTGATCAGGTTCCATATTATATTTATGCTGGCTATATTTTGAGTTTAAAACTCATTCATACAATAATAAACAATACATTCTTGTTTGATACATGGTCCTTCTTTTCTCTAGGCTGTTATTGTTGCTGTTGAACTACGAAAACCGATTTTAGCTGGAATTTCATGCCGCGCAGGTGAGTATTTGTGTCAGATTTTGCGACCATGTTCTCAAGGTCCAGAATGTGCAAAAATATGATTATAAATCGATATTATAGTGTATATTATCGATATTATTACAGTTGATTATCCAGCCATTGTGAGTCAAATGGAAAAAGTTAACTGGGAAGTGAAAGACTTAGTAAGCCAGCACAGCAATTATGTTGACGTCCTTTTACGGGTAAGCATGATCATTTTATTTGTTGGCCGATTTATTATGCTTACTTAATTAATGAAAATATAACACAGGCATTGCAAGTTTTCTCTATGAGAGTTAGTGCAATTTCGACGTCATTACCCATTCCAGATGCCGTACATTCCATTTTGTGGTGAGTTAGGTTTAAATAATGTTCAGTTTATGCAGAATATTTGGTATTTGAAAATACTACAGGGATTTCGCCTTAAATTATCAGAAACGATACTACATTCCAATTCATAATCTTCAAGCAATTTGATGCATTTTAACTCAACGAATGTTGACTGATTATTTTCTCACAGTTGAAAAACAGCACTACAAGGAGCAATAACTTGATTTGACTCACTAATTTTTGGATCAATTTCTGTTTTTTATAACTTTGCGTTAAAATTAAATTGAATAATAATAGCTCCCTATACTATCTCGTGTACACGATTATTGTAATTTTACAGGGAACAAGTCTTCAGGTTTTGTTGCAGAGTTTTTGTGGATGGGTAAGTTTCTAAATAAAAAATGTATATTTTGTGTTTTTAAAGAATTTATGCTTTTTCTTAGGTTTAGCATTGCCAAAAAGTGTTCTAACGGTGGCCGAGGTATATTTTTACTGTATTTTTTTATCATTTTTCAATAAATAAGGTGCAAAGCGCAATACGTAATAACCTGACTATGATTACAGGTCTAATGCAGTTGGACTATACACAATTTCTTTCCAAGCTCGAAAAAATGGCACCAATGAATGTTAAAGGTAACAATTATATAATTTGATTCCAACAATTAAATGGGCTTCAAATATTTAAAAAAAAAATCGTCTATATACGCTCTAAATCGTACTACTAACTGCTACAGATGTACATGTGTAATATATAACTAACATTATCTACGACTAAAACTGCCAGTTCATAACACCTATGTACATATGTATTACTGTACATACTGGCAAATAAGTCACCATACATTAACAAACTAATCTTTTTTTGTGTATTTGTCCAGATTTACCAGACCGTGAATATGCTGAGAGCTATATTAAAGCCTATTACAGTAAAATTTATATTTCAAGAAATTTGGGAAATTTTCAAAATTCGGTATAAGCTACATGTGTATGTATTGATGTGTTTCTAGTGCCTGACACTATAATGGAGGAGTGGATACAATCTCATACGGTAAGTGAAATTTGTATAAAATGCATACGCAATTTTGGAATCAACTAATAATTGAAAAAAATATACACGTAGGAATACACGACCAAGCAGCTAACAACCCTTGTGAATTGTGCCTTACAAGGCAACCGGAAGTCGAAGCAGCGGTTGTTGGCTTTGGTTGAAGATCTTGAAAAAATTAGAAGATGATATCAAATGTAAAATCTCTATGCAAGTATTATTACCAAGAATCTCGACAACAGAACAGATCTAAACGAGCTGGTCACCAAATGTTAAACCCAAGATTATTCTCTCGGTGAAATAAAATGAGTACAAATATATTATAAAAAAGACGTTCAGTTTATTGTGCTCTTGTAATAGTGGATTGGCACTGAGAATTGACTGTCACGATTAATGCATGTTATAACAATTATAGGGGTTTCAAATATTTAACAAGAATATTAAAAAAAGTCATCTACATATGTACTTTTAATCATTGTACTAACGGGTACAGATACTTTTATATTCTATAACAAACATCACCTAAAAATACAATAAAAGACTTTAACAGTTCATCACATCTACATATGTATGTATGTACATACCGCCGGATAAGACAACATAAATTAATAAACTAATCTTCCTTTGTCCAAGTTCAATTACTAAACAACTACAAATAAATACGATCTCATGTGGAATTATGAGATGTATTCCTACCATATAAGATAGAGTTCAGAGATTAAGTTATAACTAGATATTAGCATTTTACATATCGTCACACATCCAGACCAACAATTGCGTCTGGTTAAATGATGGCACAAAATAGTAGGTTTGCTGACATGGGAGACGATGCAAAGTTAACAGTTATAATTTAAACGACACCAGAAATTGTTTACGTTAATGATTTCTCTAAGCAAAAATTCAACTTGATTTTGGTTTAGTCAAAGTGGGATAAATGCAAAGACATCTCCCAAAAAATCCAACGCAGCAGGTGGAGGTTGATATTTAATCAAGTATGGGAGCACCACCCACCCAACTATAACTACATCATTACGTATAAATTTACCACACGGAACATTTTTCCTTTGGGTTCATGGGTTTTGTATTTGGGCAGTTAAAGTCCTTTGAAAATGGTTCCATATTAGAAAAAGGTCCTGCAAACAAAGTTGAAAATACGTACACACACACTTTAGATATTTGTTGTTTGAATCTACTACTATTGATATATTTGAAGTATTTAATAATGGTTAATTTTTTTAAGTGCAAACGCTTAATGTGCTACACACCTCTAACACGGAATTCTCCAGGGGAATGCACGCCCGTCAGAATTCTGAGTTTCAAACTTTCTGGTCTGTACTTGTTACACCAAACGTTGGCTGCACTAATCCAGAACAGTTGGTTGGATGAGTATTTTAACCCAGGCAGTTTCTAAAAAAAATTGAACCATTAATTGTCAACACCTTAATGCATGCATGCACATCTTTCATGAATAATTGTGTTTTGGGTTTACTTGCTCTTGGCCATTTCTTTGAACCCACGACTGATAGGCTCGGTATGCTTCTTTTATACCTGTTTTAAAAATAAATAAAAATTATCATCTACATAAAAATTCATACATTAATAAATCAAAAAATGAATGGAACCCACCTCCAATGTCAGCAATATTTTCTCCTTGTGTGTTGATTCCGTTTAACTACATTCAGAGAAATAAATCTTTCAATTTGAATCATTATAATGGCATGATATCAGATAATTACCTTCAGATTTACTTCTTTTGCCGTCATATTTCCATACTGATAAATTATGCATTGGGTTCGTCTGAGGTATGCATTTTTTGTAGTTGGTTCCCACTGTTATGTTAATCGTTAAATTAACTGTTATTGAATTTAATTGACACTTTGAATCTTACCCAATCATACAGATTTCCATCGGCATCAAATTGACGTCCCTATTAGTCAATTTACAATAAAATTTTGTCATACAAGGTATATTAGCTAAAAAAAACTCTTATCTAAGGACTAGTGATTGGGCCAGTGACGGCGTACATTACCTGATCATCAAAACCGTGGCTAATTTCATGACCAATAATCCATCCAATAGCACCATAGTTCATATATCTAGGTCTCTCACTAGCATAGAAGTAAAAATTAGCATATTATATTGAAATTTAAATTGGAGAGAAGAGGTGTCGAAACTTACCTGTCGAAAAACACGCCCTGGAGAATTCCAGCTGAAAAGAACAAACATAAATGCTGTAAGAAATATTTGTAGGACAATGGTCGAGTAGAGATAGAGATAGAGACTGATATCATGTCGCCACCCATTAAATAATAGAAAGAAACAAGAGAATTGTTCTCAGTTCGAGAGAGATAGGAAAATAGTTTAGCTACATCAAAACGATAACTTGGCATTTTTGGAGGTGCTGAAGAGATGACTTGAAAGTGAGACGGGGTTTGCAAGTACTTGTTTATCACACATCAAGTCTTGATAATTTCATGTCAATAATTTTAAAATGATATGCTTAATTCTTTTAGAGTCAAATCTGCGATGCCCTGTCCCCCTTTTCATAAACTGACACCCATTGAATTTTCTTACCCGGAAATTGAATAGAGTTCTCCAGAGGTGCATAAAATGCATTAATGACAGCAGGACGCCCGTGAGAAATCCAATCCGTCTTGTTGACTCTTTCTCTCAATTTTCTGTATGCATAATCGGTTCCGAAAGTTGTTAGATTTAGAACATTTCCCAGGTAGTCGTTGTTACTCATTTCCAGCTATTAGAAGTATATTACACACTTATTGTAATTTTGCATGAAACGTGTTATTTTCATAATTTTATATAATAAATACAATCGTTCTGTACCCCATCATACAGCTCAATGAGCTTGGAATCTTCCATCAATTCCTTGGGATAACCTGTAAAACATGAATTTTACGTAATGGAAAAGAGTGCTCCTCATTACTAGTATTGGAACCAGTAATGATTGTAGTTTAGAATTAGTTTTGTGGACGACTCTTACCAATATGAGTTTCCATACTATTGGCTTTTTCAATGGCTCGACCTCTGTAACAATAATGATTGTTGATGTTTAGTTAAAACTATTCCCAGTTTTCATTGATCAACTCGCGTGATATTACAATAGCATTCACTTTTACGAACCTTGTCAAGCTATCCATCCACTCAATCTCCTTCAAAATGTCGAGGAACGATTTGCGCTGTAATAGAATTTATTAACAAATAATTGGACATATGATAAGAATATGTTTGTATTTGAAAGATTGATAGATGACGACATTGACATAAGTAAATGCTTTATTTTGATGAAACCCGTGCGCAATATTTTATTTTAAATATGTAAGTAGTCGTTTTGCTAAAGTAATCCCTGCATCCGATTTCTTGGAGTGCATATATATGTACATATCCAGGCAAAATTCATCTAAATTTTGTACTTACGATATCAGTGACCATCTCCATTGCGGAAGCTATGAAAACAAAAATTTACTATTATTACACACAAAGTTCTTGAGATTTAAGAAAAGAATTAGATATATAAAAAAGTTCGAGGGGTGAGCCGTTAATAATTTTCATGTACTTAAATTATATGCACATACCTCGAGCCTCGTCTTTGAAATATCGACGAACATAGAGCGCCCCAACTGCATTTGCCAAGCTGTATCATAACACAAACATTTTAGTAACCTGTCAAGTACACGTATGAAAAATAAGGCCCCATCCCCCTTCATAATCTAAGCTACCACCACCACACCATCACCGCATGCACCTAATTCGACCACTTTTCGACCTACAATTAGAATTAAGATAAAAAACACTACAAATTAAATCCAAACTCGAAAAGACCTTGCTGTTGCGACACTAGTGCACTCCCTCCACCTCGGTTCTCGTTCGCCCTTTCCAGTCAACGTGTTGGTGTAGTCCAATTGCAACTTTCGAACGCTTTCACTCATGTAACTGACGGAGCTGGAATGATTTAAATTAATTTTTTTGTATAACTTTAAAAAACATCAAATTAATACTTTGAAATGAAATTTAATTTCACTATACCTTGCGGCTGCCCTCCACATGACATAGTTGGCTTGCACCCTACATGCACAAATATGCATGAAAAATCATGATGTGATAATTGAAAAAGTTTTCAAATGAGAGATATTACCTTTTGTCGGTTTGGGAGATTAACTGCTGAAATTTTGTTATGTATTCAGGTACTGTAACAATAATTGTCTCATCGGATGCAATTTGAACCTAATTTGAATAATTGTCAAAACAAATATTTCAGACATCAGTATGTATCAAAAGTATGTACTAATGAAAATGTTGTCAATATACTTTCTCTGGCAATAATCGATTAATGTATTCCAACCATGGAATAGATGGAAACTTTTCTTGTAGCTCTGAAATGGTCATTGGATTGTACAACTTTGTCACATTTCTTCGTTCTTCTCGTGGAAGTGAGAACTGTAAGAACATAAGAACAAAGTCAAATAAGTATGCATCTGCAACCATATGCATAACTCGGAATAACTTTCCACTTACGTTTGCCAACTGTGTTTCGAATTCGAGAGCATCGCGCATATCCTTCACCTGTGAACAAATTTACGTATAACAAATTGTTATTAACAATGTATATATCCTGACACAGAATCAAAAAATTCTGACCCAAAGAATGATAGCAGTTTCATCAAAATTTTGATTCCTCAGATAAAATATTAATTTATGCATACGTGAATTTAAATTTTTTTGAATCTCACCGCAGTTGTTCGGTCAGCTCCCAATAAAACTGCCAACTCAACCTATACAACGGTGAACAGTGGAATGGCAATTAATAAAGCTTACACAAATACAAGCGGAAATGGAATTTTTATTAATTAATCGGATCATATACCTGATACTTGTGGTATGCTTTCACCTCGGATTCATTCAACCCCTTGGTCAGGTACTCTCGGGAGAGACCAAGTGCAGGTTGGTCGATCTATAATTTATTAGCGGAATTCATTAACAAAATAATAGGGTTAAAATATAGAAAGGATAAGATTCGTACATCGATTATCCGATAAGTTGAGTTCTTAACATCAGTTGTAACGGAGAAGTCGATGAAGTAGTCATTCTAGATAAAACAAAAGGTAAATTGTATCCCCAGAGAAAATAATAATCTTGTGACCCGCCCTTGAATGCAAGGACCAATTTTAACATCAGAAAACTAACCGAATATCCTAATTTACGGAATCGGTACACAGACTCAATCCACGTAAAAGTTGTAGGATCCCAATTGGGTTCTAGCAAGGGCCATCCACCCAATTTCTTCAAGATTTCATTCATTGGCTTCACGCCCAAACTTTCGATTAAGGCTGAAACAAAAATATTAGAAATAAGTGGAAGAAAGCTTATTTAATGTTATTATGTACTTTGTTGTTAAACATCATGAGACATTTAAAAGGTGGAGAAGGAACGAACGGTGGTCATTAGTGCTGTCACACTTTATCCTTGAAGTATGATTCTCAAATCGCAACATTCTCAGGCACAGAGTCGCAGATTTTTTCTAAAGAGCACATGCAACGCCACTCTCCTACTATGCACATAGTCCTGATTGCAGTGGCTTCCTGAATTTCTGACTCTTTAACCTATTTCTGAGCACAATGATCATAATATAATGCAGAACAGTCGGTTTAGTTCTTCTACGGCTCATCACTCACATTTAACGACATACGCCAAACACCAACGTAGCAATATGAGCCACTAATAGCCGTAATATTGCTTGTGTATGTATATAGATCTCCCATATTTTCATCTCTCATCACCGTTCCTCGTTTGAATGCATAAGCTGGCTCCGTATACCTTGGTCGCTTATTGGCACTATTTATTTTGCGAGGTATCCGAATCATCCTTTCAACCTTTTTCCCTTTCAAACGGCAAGAAGCTGCCTAGAACGTAGCCAACTTAATCTGTTTGCCAGTCACCGCTCATCAATCTTATTTTCACTTTCCTCTACGTCTCCCTAACAAGTAGTGTCGTCCGCTTTAATAAAATTTGCAGAAAATGTTACTCTGCTTATCATTTCACCATTATGAGTTTCATTGTTTTTCACACGCCAACGTTTTTTTCATAAGTGATTAACTTCAGAAGATGAGCAAATTTAGTAACTTTTAGTTTTGTGGAATCGTTATTCTTATGAATATGTTGTGTTTTTTCTTAGCCAACTGTCAAATTATGTAATTGGAACAAATGGACAGCCTTATATACGTTATACAAATTGGCAAAGGAGTTACTTTTGCAGTGGTATTTGCAAGCGTGAGGAAAAATTTCTTTCAACTTACATTTGTTCATGCAGGATTGGTACAAGTTTTTGACCAATTGAAATGGCTTTGGCTCATCAGGCTTCACAGGTTCTTCAACCAAAATCCTCACCTGCTCATCAAGTTTGTCGTTGAGAATCCCAAACCTAAAAGTTGCGACAATCAGGGGTACAGTGCTTGTCTCATATCATACATACAGAAGTTGAGGCAAATTGAGACAGATAAGAATGCGAGTCTACTTATGTTACTTATGTACCAGCACAAACCTGCCTAATCTGATATATATTAACGAAGCATTAAATATAAATATATCCATTTACGTGGTCATTTGCGTCTTGTCATCAGGTATAATCGTGTTCTTAACAAAGCCTCCGCATGCGAATTCGTAGAAATTGTCACACGGATCAACTTCTTCGTCCATATTTTGGATTATTGCAGCAGCTACATTCAGGAATTGGTATCAGAATTATGTGAAAATTTTGGAGAATTTATTGAGGTATAAAATTACACATGGCTCCCAATTGATTTACCTGTTCGGACACATCCCTTGGTATTACAGATGCCGGGTTCGGTGTCTTCGGCGCCATCATCGACTAGTGCTTCTGGTGAAGGCATAGACTCAGAATTTGGACCAACTGTTAATAAATGTAAGTGCCAAGTGCTCAAGCATGCCAAACATAAGCAACAAAACCATGTTCGTGTTGTGTACATAAATACAATCACATTACACCGTCAACAACAAAATGCTTTAAGTACACAAGGATTTCGAAACATTTGAATTTGCACTTTCCGGCTCAAGAAACAAAAGCAAAATTGTATACTGCTGCCAGTACTTGGAAGATTGCTTTACGCCATAATGGATAAACGAGCCAAGGTGGGACGGATGATGAGGTGAGACCAATAATCACAGTGATCGCACAACAACTCATCAATCTTGATTAAATCAAAAACTTCAAAATAGGGACACACGTTGATGAGCTTTAATTTACTAGGACGATAAGACTCATGTTCATTGATTGGTAGGAGCTATCTCACGAAAATATAGTTTTAAAAACTGGGACATGAAAATTGTCAATTTTGTTGATGGTATAAGTTGCATGATACATAAATAAATAAATAAATAAATTATACAAAGCACACTGCACTAAAACACTCTTTACTAAAGAATTTTTTATGCATTCGAACTTTGAAATATTGAGGATAATGGTCAAAAGGTTCAAACATTTCAAGGCTTAATCACATTTCACGCCTAAAAAACTGAAATCACCTACATCGTATGTAGGTGCAACTTCAGGTAAGTTAAGTTACTTAACATGTACCGTCATAGGATTTAAAATAATATTTCATTTGAATACAAGTAATGGAGATACGAGTGCATATTAAAGTATATTAGTGATATATCTGCAAACAAATATTTGTACAGCTCCAAAATAAACACGTGCAATTAGTGAATAAATAAATAAATAAGTAAACAACGTCAAAATTAAGTGCAACGCAGTCAGCAGTGAAGCGGTCGTCGTGTTTCTGTGTGCCTTGCATATTTGCATTGGACATCAAATTCGATTTCACGCCCATGAAATTTGCGCTGATTGATGTCCAATGACTGATATATGGAACGTACCTCGTAAAGCGGAATTTGTGGAGGCAAGGGCGACGACCAGGGCTGCGCAGGTCACGAAAAAAACGCAAGCAGACACCAACAAACCCCTTTCCAACCTCGTCCTTCGATTCCACCATGGTGGGTTTCTGCAATCAAAAATTAATTCAATTAAATCGGACACTGATTTTGAGAAAATGACTCGAATTTTCACCAACACGCAAAATGCCCCATTCGGTTCTCCGAAAGACATTTTCTGAGATTCCGAAAACGTATTTACACAAAGTGATGATCGAATGACACTCTCAGTGTTAATTATTATCCTGCCAAACCCTAAATCCTTGATTTGATAACGTCACTTTTTCTCCTTACGTGCTCAACTGGGTTTATTACTAATTTGTAGTATACCAAGAAGATGAGGAGTGGTAGCTTTGACGTGAACCACAGCTACCACGAAATCCAACAATTGTCTGCTAAATATTTGTATTGAGTAGTTGAGTCACTACTCGATAAGCGGTATCTAACCGAGTCAACAAGTAAGTTAAGTAATATCATGAGAAACACACAACCAAATTGTCCTTATGCAAGACTGACAAACTTGAATTTTTTCATAAGGTACAAAAGTAATCAAATTACTCGAAAACAATGGAATTACGGTACCGTGGGAAAATTTGAGACTTTAAGTTCAATGGTGGAACAACCCAACCTCAAGCCAAGACTACTATTAATATACAGTAAGGTGAGGAGAGTATGTGTGTACATGTATTCATTCATTGCATTTATACATATGGTAAGTGGTCATACACACTGGGATAATAAATACTGAGAATCATGGGAATACGATATTTGTCTCAAAGGTTGGTTTCCCGTCATCACTGCGAGCGGCTTTATGTATAAATGTGATAATTGGAAATGAAATTACCTGAAGCTTTTGGATGGCTGATTCAAAGCCACTCCGTTACTGTTACTGGTGGGCTGCATGGCTAGCGTTTTATGTTATTATCGAGGATATGTTCTTGTCGTTGTTGTTTGCTTTAACTCAGGTCGGAGAATAAGAATAATTTACCATTCTTCTAATAATCAAGTTATTCAATATCACCACTAGGTTTCCTCAGTAGAAAGAAATGTTATTTATATTTCCCATTGTGACCATGTTTTTCAGGGAAAGAAGAGAGAAAACAGCCTCCTGGAAACCTCCATTATACAACACACTCGGCAAAGTAGTTTCATAAGGCCACCCAGGTGGATGGATTATAATTGGCTAAATGTGTGTTTACTTGGGAGAAAGTAATAACAAGAGCGAGATCCAATTTCAGATCCCGAAAAAAAGCTACACTTTGCACTTTTGTGGTGTGTCTTGCGGTTGTTGGTTGGTTGGAGTTTCTCTGCGGAGAATTGTGGTGTCGTCCAGCACCTGAGTGAGTGGAGAACTGAGCGGAAGATGAGACGCTCAGTGGATGATGAGAGAGAGGAAGAAAGTGAGAAGAAGAGCAGCACTCGTCGCCGTCGTTGAAACGCTGGTGATGAGCACACAAGACTCGATTAGAGACACGGATTCAGCTATGTAGCAGAGATCACTGCTTTTCACTCCTCACTAATAACCCACCAAGCATGATATTTATGACACAGGCTGGATGTAAGTCAGCCCCCCTCCTTACTCGGATTTCGGATACTTGCCTACCATGCAACAACAGGGACATGAAGGTCGAGAACAAAGGAGATCAAATTCCAAATATAATAGAATTACAAGAAAAAGGTGTCATGTAAGGGAAAACTGTTGTCTCCAGTTGTTGGGTAGACGCTGGATCGACTAATGACAATAATAATTCAAGTATAGTTCGTGATGCATACACGGGCTTCTTGGTCTTTTGTTACTGGGTTGACACGTGGATAATTATTATTATTATGTACGTAGTTATATCATCCCAAGGTTATCCTCCACCGACTACTAAAGCCTTTCAAAAAGCACCCTTTACCAAGTTTTCGTACAAATAATGCTCATTCAACACTATTCAATTTTCAATTACAATCTCGTTTGATGTTAGAGTTCTATTACTACTATTACAGTGTAATCGCTGACTGGTGGAAGCAGCGAAACGAATTTCATCAACTTGACACATGTGCCTGTATAATAAGGTTTCTGAAGCAAGGTTTTGCGGTAGAATATTGTTCACAGGAAGATTGAAGGATACTCCTTTTCGTTTCAAAGGCCAAGAAGAAGAAGACGACGACTCAAACTTATTAACATTCTTAGACGACCGAAATGTACACAACGAACGGCTAACTCAAGGAGGGGACAGAGTCTCGACTTGCTCCCATTTATGTAGGAAACACGACATTAAGTGTGTTTAAACTGCTTATCAGGCGTCATCACATCATAAGTTTCCAAACTTGATTAGGAATCACGTCGAACTTCTTTGTGCACAATTATACGTATTTTTGTACTGGCGTAATAGAGACAAATGAAGATTACACAATCTAATAAATACGAGATAATAATTGAGTTGCACCGCGAGCAACTTTTCCAGACGTGCTTAATTAGCAATTAAAGATTAGATTCGGGGAAATTAATGTGAAATAAACTGCCTACGTTGCAGATTCAGTTCTTCCTCGTATTGGGCGAGTGTTACATGGTCAACAAAAATGCAATCCGTGTGTGAGCTGGAAATTTGTGTCTCAATGAAACGGCAAGGAAGAAGTGACTGAGGAGAAAACATATGCATAACTGTGACCCAGCCAATATAATAATACCGTAATAAACAAACAGCGTCGCGTCGCACTCAAACCAACATGTGCTGCATCTCGAGAGATTTATGATTAATAAAGTACGAGAACGAGTAAGATGTAGTAGTCCAAGTGACTGTAACACACGAATTGTTGGGGAGCATCTCATTCTTCTTCTTCTTCCAAGTGGGAACATAATCATATATTTCGCAATTCTGTCCAGCCAGAGCATGTGTAGCCGAGTCTCACTTTCTGTCACCCAAGAACTTAATGCTTTGCCTTTGGGCTTGGGCCATTACTTTGGCTGACTTATGACAATAATGCCAAGCGTCAAGAAAATTGCCAAGATATAAATATATCGTTTTTCATGTAAATTGAATGCTCCTCTTGTTGATACTAACATGTATACATTAATGGAGACACTTGTCCTCAAGTAGGTAAACATTAAATTATTACGTGAAGCAGCTCAACTGGTGCTTGGTCATAAACTACACAAGTCACACACACACACGACGACGACATATGTAAGAAGCAGGCTACGATGATGGTGAGAAGACTTGAGTAGTTTTACTACTTCCGTAGAATTTTGTCCGCCTGGTCCCCAGACCTTTTACTTTTTGAACCACTTGCTTTATTTTGCTCTTCGCTACTGCGTTGAAAGAACAGCGTTGATGACTATCATCAACCTTACTAAATACTTTTCTGCATGCTTGGCTACTTGTGCTCGTCTTGAATGAAGTCTTATCAAGCTTAATTTATTTACCATTCTAAATTGGCACTACAACTCATCATTAATTTTTATACAGACTAATTAAATGACATGTTGACAGAAAGGGGTTTAATTAAATGATAACCACGGCATCAGAAGAGTGATGTGAATAACAAGAAGGGTGGTCGGTCGGTATTCTGGCGATAATATTGTGCAACTTTCGCGAGAAAGTAGTATTAGCTGAGCCAGTATCTCATGGGATTCATAGGAAACTGTGAATTAATTATTAAAACATTTCATGCTTCATATTTCCTGGCATTGTTTGGTCTATCACAGTATTTGTAAATTCTTGAGAAGATTTCTGACTCTTTAGCTGCATCACACAGGTCGTGGTCTTGAAATGCAAATAGTTTAGGAGTCGCCATGTACGAGAAAGAAAGTTTAATTAAGCACTGTATTACATTGCGGATGCCAATATTAAATCCTGAAACTTTAAAAGTTTAGGATTGGTTTATGGTGAAAAATTGTTGAAATACTTTGCTGAATTCAGTATCTTGAACGTTTGAAGTGCACCCAAGCATGCAGCTAAAGTCTTCATTTTCACGGAGGTCACATAATAATTTCCATCCCGCCTTTGGTCCGCACTCAACTGAAAGTTCCGTTTCCGGTTTGACGGTGATTGTAACACCATCCTAAAGCCTTCAAAAGGAAAAGTGATTAAGACGACCGAGATGATGAAGATTCCGGGCTCCGCTTATGCATATGCATTCACGAGATCAAATGGAGACCCAAAGTCAAAGTTGAAACGCAAAGTCAAAGATGTGGGGAAGCGAGGTGTGAAGAACATGGCAAGCTCGTTGAGTTATTAAAATAACTCAAATGGGCCGTCACTCCATTTTAAAATGAGGTTGATGCAGAGCAAATACGCTCCTAATGATATTTCCATCTTCCTTCTGCTGGAGCCCAACAACTCCAGCAGCCGGACAAATTACTTACAGAACCACACGCCAAACGCCGCTACTCCACTGCTCATCATCAGCCCTTTAATTTGCACCGTGTTGTTGGACAAATTGATACTCTATTAAATACTCGTCCTTATTTGTTCCATCCTCAATTCTCTCCACTTTTCGGGCTCACTAGAACACAGATTATGATTATACACGCATAAATGAAACCATTAAAACAACATATGTACCACTGTTGAGGGACTTGCTTCTCTACATGCACATATAAACTATAAAGTGCCACACCATAATCCATGTAGTTTAAAACTGCACAAATACAATTAAGTATATGCATATCTACCAAAGAAACCCAAGGCAATGACAAGGCGAATTTCATTCGGCAAATTTAGAAAGAGTGCAGTTTTGTCTTGGTCTATCAATTCTAAATGACGCTTTATTTGCTTGGAACTGATTTGCCAATTTAGTCATCAACAAGAGAATGAGGCAGGGGAAAGTAATGTATTATTAGTAATTAACCTAATGGAAAAAGCTCATGTTTATAGCACGTATGTACATTGGTTTATACTATGTATACAAGCACCTACACCCTGCTATTATGTATATACGTATATACAGTGCGATTCTTTGGGTTTCCAAAAACTCTACAAACAACTATGCAAATCTCCATCCATTTTGCTAATTGTGTCCATTGTCAGATACTTCTGTTTTATAATTGTTTGTTTAAGGACTTTTTTATAACTAAATGCATTTTGAATCTGTATGTGTTAACTTTTACATGTGACACATGAAATTTTTACATCTGTCAAAGGACTCCTGTGTGTCGAACTACAAGGTTTCATTACATGCACAGTACGTTAGCTCTTAATAAAAGTATAGATAAAAGTCACAAATGACAAATCTATTTAAACTTAAAAATGCAGATGTGCCAGTCAATTACAACAATTTACATTCGTAAGTTTATAAACACGAGTTATTGTGCAGTTGGTGCATTGTTGCACATTAGAAAGTTGTGAACAATCATCACACCTTGTGCTGCGTCCGTAAAAATTAAACATAATCACTCAATGCCGACGACGACCAGAATGCAAGTGAACCACGATGATGCTGCTGATAACAAATTGCAGCATCATATCGCCGATCGAGGAGCCAAAGTTGCATTGCTGAGAGTACTTACATGGCATAACTTTAATTTTACTGCTACACACACTTGTGATTTTTTTTCAGATTGCCATGTTCCTTCCGGCATCACGTACACGATCGTGATCAGTGTAGTTCATATCTGCATAGTATCATCACAATTGAAGTAAGAATCTTCGCCACCATCAATATTTTGATGTAACGGCAACTTTGTGCGAGATAGTTAAATGCTTCTTCATGTAAATAAATAGCTGACTTTTATTAATATTAATATTGTCAAGCCACGCCTTTATTTAGCTATTTCTGTAATAATTAATAATTATAGATCACTTGTATTGCAGCAGCTACGTAACAGTTGAATATTTGAGATAATTATTGTGCCTCATCTTGCTGCTCATGCATAAATATATCATAAACCTACAAGTTTTGGACGTCTGAGGGCTCAGGAAGATTTTGGAATTAGAGGATTTAATCTCTCCAACCGTAGGTGGTCACCATGATCACTAATCCATACACAATAGTTTGTTCAGTCCTTCTTTATATGCCATGCTCCACCTGCTGCTTGATTCCCACAATAATAGGCAAAGTTTAACCGGAGAAAAGTATCGTGTTTCATTAGATGAGGGTAAAGTATTGAACGACACAATGACTCAGATTTCGAGGAAAGGAGATTACAGATCCATGTAGCGAATTTAAAGCATACACATACACAGATTTCAGTGCCACACCATTTACGATCAAATTGAACATGTTGACATAAATTATCATTATATTTTAATATTAAATGATCATTTCCAAAGTTTGCGAAACGCGGAACTTCCGTATTTTATAGAATGGGATGTGAGCTCCTAGGAACAATAAACCAATTATATAAGTAACCCAAAAGCTATCTAACGACCAAGATGTTTTTTTTTCAATCACACGTAATTCTACGTATTCTGAATAGATGCCTCCATTCCATACGAGCAATCACAACATGCACTTATGTATTTAGTAATAATATTGTTACCATTCTAATAAGGTGGGAAATACTACTGGCTTCCCTGTCAAAATGTGTCATTTGGTCAACGAGAATGCAAGTCCGCAAATCCTCGTGCAAGAATTGGGGCACTGCATATACTTGTGTTATGAATGAGGTATTAAAAACGCATGGACTTGTGCTAAGCTGAGGTTGAGAAGGAAGTTGATTATACGCATTTTGAAACGCTTTCTGAATCTTGGTTATTTTGACCAAGAGACCGGAAAGGTATATCACATTGATGCTGTAATTTGCTATATCATGTGCACTATTTTCATAACATGTAATATCCTGGTGATCTAACCACGGACTTCAGGCGTCTGCCCCTTTTTGCTTCCACGAAGAAGGAACAGTGACTAATTTGCACTTAAATTTTTATTATCTTCACTACGATCTTATTTCATAAGACCAACAACAAAATATATAAATATCCATATGTATCTCACCACCAAGTAAGTATATACTAACCTATGTACGCCACTATTTTCGCCCCACTTGCTTTGCATTTATAGTATAGAAGAATCTGTTTTTAGATTTCGCTGATCTTCAACAGGAATAATCGTCAAATAATCGTTCAGCAAAGTCAAGGAACAATAAGCTTTATCATTTTCTCAACTTGTGTGTATGTATATATCCCACGTGTGCAATAAACTAATTTCTGAAATACGAACATATCAATTTCCAATTCCAAGTAATTTATAATTTCCATCAATATGTAATTCCAGGAGGTGTTACATATAGTTTTCAAATACGTCGCACTTTTTAACATCGTCTGTCATCTGTCTTTATTCGTTTTCTTGGCACATGCAGCATCTTCATTTCATAAATCAAATTAAATTGGCTAAGTGAATGTAATTGAAATTGATCTAAAGTTGACTTATGCATGTAAACTTTTAATTGTAATTACATAACAAGTTCCTCTTTCAAACCCAACCAAATTTCAGACGTACATACATATGTATTTAAAATATTATACGTGCATACCTTTACGTAGTACGAATAACATACGACGTAATAACTTGGAACATATCACGAACGAAAAACCACATATATTCAAAAATTGGTATGTGACACGTCAAATTCGCTGACTTTTATGACAATTCTATTCTATTATAGTACTTATGTATTTAAACTGCTGTAGATAATTTCATTTTACATCATCATTTTGACAATTTCAAGGACACGACAAATGTCCAATTTTACTAGTTCCATGAAAATTTAAGCTTTCGACACGAAGCTGCCACGCATTAAAAGTGTATCATCACGAATGAATACTTTAGAATAAAATGCCTAATTTATGAAAAGTACAACATAACTATTACGTGCACACAATGCGGTGAATACTAACAATGACATGAAATACTCATTTTTTTCAACTATTAAATACAGGTCCACGTACTTGAAACCTTGCCCAAAGTCAAAAATAAAGGTCACCACAATAAATCTTTAATGACTTCGAATCATCAAAAAATCAAAGGTTCTACCGAGACTCGAACTCGGATTGCTGGATTCAAAGTCCAAAGTGCTGCCATTACACCATAGAACCAGTTGAAATTTATTCTGGTAAAGAATTGCATAGTGATGCAATTTTAAAATCTTTATAACCTCCTAATCCTAAGATTATTAAGCCAATCTCAATCCTGCTTTATGAGGAGACAAGTGTGTCATATAAATAAATACGAGGTGCAGCGCAACAATGTTGCTGACACCAGCAAATCTGCACTCACGGAAAGTAGAGCCGATGTTGCTCTCTCATTGAACGAGAGAGACCAACCTGATCCTGTCCGAGAGTCATCTCAACAAGCAAATCAGTCGTATTGCCATTCATTAACTGATACTGAGGATTTATTCATTCATTCACGCGTGATGTATGAAAACAGTGTTTATAGTAAATAGCTACGTCGTCTTTGGAATAATTTTTATCACAAATTCACAAAGATACCGATTCTCCAAAATTCACTCTGATTGGCAATAGTAAACGATACATATATGCAGTCTAAGCTATTTAGAAATTCATATTTCAAAACTCAACCAAAAATCATTAAGGAAATGATGACAGGTTGCAGAATTTCGTATTTGTGCGAACAATTGCATGCTAGTGCTGCATTTTCCCATCCGTTGCATTGCAACATGCATTCAACTACATAAATACGTAAGACGTACCTATGACATGTGCATACCTCTTCAGATCTCCCTTAGAGTTTGTGTGACAGTGAATATTATTAGAAATAATAACGAATATTGCAAGAAAAATTCGAGTAGTGTCAATTCATGAACACGATTTTCTTCCTTTGTTCACACTAAAATCCTCGAAGAATCTTCGTTTCAACAACTCCACTATTCATTGTCAAATGCACGAAATGAATGCATAGTAACCACATATCGTCCTGGGTGTCCCGACACTCGCCACAATTCATATCCTCCTAACATTTCATCCCCAACATATTTCGTTCTACACAGTTCTTGTTCATTTTAAGAAATGAGAAAATAAGTTGGATAAATACTGAACAGTTCCACCTTGTTTCTAGGCATGAAATGTGCACGTTATGAGTTGTGGGAGAATGAAATGTGGGGTATGAAGTGTCCTAAAACCTCGTCATTCGTCTTACACGCAAGCTATAACTATTGTAATTTTGTGAATAATCAACTATCGTTAAAATTTATGGAGTCTTAAATAGTGTTTAAATTTGTTCTTTCAAGGAAACCCTAATATCTTATGGAACACGAATTGTACTTAATTTGTTATGTCTATTGACTTTCGCGCATGCATTTGTTTGTCACTCATCTTTTTAGCTTGAACACGACTTTGATGTACTTACTATTCTTAGAAGTTAGATTTTTAGAAACTACCAAAATTATAAATCAATGATCGATAATAATTATTATGTATATATTCTTGTTGATGGAAATAATTTGTTCAGCAATGCCAACTAACTGACTGCATTTAATTAACAATATGCTTGATTATGTATCAGCACCTCATTAAGAATTAACAAATTAATATAGTCTTGTGTTGATATACACAAATTTCCCTCGTTGGTCAATTAACTTATCATAATAACGATGAACACCAACATGAATCAGAGGACAATCATCAAAACTAGAATACAAATTTCATAGTGATGATAACCACAAAAAATGTACCCCGCAGTTTATCAATAGTTAAAGTTTGTTAACAAAGGAATGTCCTTTGTTAGCAAAATTTTAAAAAAAGAGAAAGCTGGAGTTGACAGGATAAAATTGCTTTTGGTATTTTTAGCATTTGGTGAAAACATTTTGTAAATCATGCAGATAGAAAATTCGGTTGAAATTATTTGTCTATCAACAAGTTATAAAATATTTTGCTGCCGACAATAAAGTGATCAATTTGCTCTTTAAAACTTTTTTTATTATCAAACTTTTTCTTCCATTAAAAAATGAAGAAATGAGTTAATTTCTTCTCATCTCATCTTGCTAGCCAAATAAATAAGTCATTTGAGTGGCGTTGAACTGAACGCACAGACTTTGTATTACTGATAACAGAGTAAACCGGATTTGGATTTGCTCGATATGTTACGAAATTGTTTTTCATTAGAGCAACTCGTACACGCAATACGGCAAATAATACAATCATTTTGTAATAATCTTCATTAAAATCTTTCTGATTGCTAATAACTGATCCATTATTCTAGCTGTCAATATCCGGCCGATTCGTCTCATCTGTGTCGCATAATCATTACTCGGCGGTGGGAGGAGATGCATGTCGACAATTCACACAGTACTTGCGACTGATGCTTTTAGCGAGTAATTATATCCTTATTATATCAACGCAATCCAAAACTGAGATCATTATGTACATATATTTTGCGTCCGTAAAATAAATAATAAACGTCTCGAGCGGTAGACTTGATACGGAAATTAAAATTTTTTTACCTAATTTCCGGCCCAACTCGACTCGCAAGTGTGACTTGACTCGACGTCTTTCCAGAAGATGTAACTGTTTCTGGCACCATGTTGTGTTGATGTTGTTGATTCCGTTGCATTCCTCGGCCGTTTTTTGATACCAGCTTTTTGAAGGTCGGTCAGTCGATTGCCTGATAACAGTGAGTTTACAAGTTAGACTGAGAAATACTCGTTTTATTAGTCAATTCAGAATCAGCATGCTTCCTTTAACCGGTGCGATAGTTAATGTTGTGTATGTGCACATCTGTACATGCACATATCAAACACATCTATAGAAATCAACTTCTTACTTTTAATAAATTTTTGGGTGAATGAACCGAAATACACTGAGCCAACTCTGAGATGATGAAAAAATTATTTCACAGCAACAACACATTATTACATTAAATGTTGTTGGAATGAAGTTCACGATATTGATATATATGCCAACATGACCATCTCTCTCGGAATTTTTGTCCACAGAGTTCTTTACTTGCACTTTTTAAAATGCTCTTGTCCTAAATAAACTACAAAGTCGTTGCGCTTTTTAGATTTTGTAGATCAGCTTTGACTTGAATTGTTAAATTTTTATCCTGAGAATATGACACTTGCACAAACGTCATCCACTACCTCGACTACATGTACGTTTATAGACTTGTGTGACAATTGACATTCAAATGTTTGACATTGCTTTGAGTCTCACCATAAATGCCAATTAAAACCAACTGAGAAACAATAAGCATCGATTTTGTTTTAATTTTGTCACCCGGTGCTTATACACTTTGTAGTGTATTGTTTGCAAGTTTCATAACAAGGAACTGCCTGCCTACGCATGTAGAAGCCGACTAAATGTGATAAAGTCTGAGCAGCGAATTACATAACTCTTCAAAATGAGACTCAAAACAGGATGAATGGAAAATCATAATCTCACATCCCACGCTAGTTTCTGTCGTCGCCCTAATTTGCAAAAAAGTGAATTTGTTTACAGCGACATAAAATGGGCTGCATGATGGTATAAAAATAAGAAATTGGGTCTATGCATTTCCTTCCTGCTGTTGATGATGACGAATGGCGACTCAAGAAATCTCACCTGTGCTTGCAGTTGCTGAATGCCAAAGAAATTGAGTCGCACCAAGCACGTTTAGGAAGCCGTTGTTGGTTTTCTCAATTTGTTCTGCACAATCGAGCCGACTTTTTTAAGAGCGAGGCTGAACGCGGACGTAGTAGCAAAAATTGGATTATCCGGGGAATTTGAGAAAACTTTTTGAAAGTGAGTGTTGATCTATCCAATGGAGCTCATCCTTAGATTTAATTTACTTCCTACTAATTCTGATAAAGATTCCAAACAGGTACCATGACATTCACCACCAGTTGATCTCGACCAACAACTACTAACTACCAACTCTCGACTAAAACTAAACTTTTGTTACTTGCTATTCTCTGCTGCACGGCGATCGTTGCTTGCCTGCAGTCTCATTTTGCATCCACTACTCTTTCAGATCCACTTACTTACCTTGCGTATTGCTTGATTCTACCTGTGGTTTGGGATACGTTGGATGCGGTTTCATAAATTAAATAACCTCACAGTCTCTGCAATGCAAGCAAGCATTGTGTCTAATGTTTTAGATGGTGTATGTGCATATGTATTTATATACAAAACGACGTCTGGGGGAAATTACAGCCTTTAAACTATCACTGTTTTGTATGACATATGAATTTCCAACGCGTATCTTTGTTCTTTATTCAGCACTAATGTGTACCACTGGAGGAACTGTAAATATTACGATAAGCAAATAATGATACTTATGTATTCGGTGAATGAGCAAGATCTCTGGCATGTTACGAGCTGGCAGGTTTATTCTTTTATGTCGTTGAACATTATTTTTATTACATATAAAAACCACAAACAACAGATGGACAGAATCAATCATAAGAGGAAATTGAGAAAGGGTGGCATCATTACATTTAATATTCACATAAAGCATAAAAATTAATGGGGAAGAAACGACCATGATATTCGTCATGAGAAGATATTTAGACGACTTCTTGAATTATGAATGCAATCTTGATGAGTAAACGAATTAAAATCTCAAATCCCTGATGACGTATGCCGTTCGCAACTTGACAGCTTTCAATACCGCAGAGAATTGATTGAGAGGATTGATTGACTTTGAGGATGCAAGGGAATGAAAACGCACAGCTGCCGTTGAAAGTTAAGGCAAGTTAAGGCACGTTTCATGCAATATGTTCAAACACGGAACGAATGAGTTGGATGTAATTATAAATGACCTTCTGACTTCTGAGCAGTAGAATTTCCAGACCCAGGAAAAATAAATAAGCTTCCCAACAAATTTACTTTCACTCATCCGATCCCTATCCTGTGCTGTGCATAATTATTGAATCTCAAACCTCGTGTACACATCCTACATACCCTATCATGACTTCACACCTTGTATAGAAGTTAGAAACACTGTTTGGTTTGCAAATTACTCTTGACACGGGGAATCATGCATTATACATGATTTCTAAATATTCCTTTCCTTCAGTAATTCAAGCTATCACCACTGACTTTGTGCATGGCCTCCTTTTGAGACGACAAACTATTTGTATAAGTAAATAGCAGTACGAAGAAGAAGCTGAATATTATTCTACTTTTCTACTTGGCAAGTTAATTTAGCTTGATGTCCTGTGATTTATTCCGTTATAAAGGTGCTTACATATTTCATTAGTTTCCCTTTCATAGGCACCTTAAATGTGTTCGAATAAGGGAGCCAGTCAAGTGGAACTTTACGGCAAGACACCAATAAAACCCGATTTCGCAAATAGGCATCGATTTGTTGGGTTACTTTTGCCCATCTTGAACCGGTCGCAGGCAGATAATCTAGTCCACAAGATGTGTCAAAATGTTGCTCATTTTGACAAAAATGGTATAAAAATTAAAATATATGATTGACCCAGTCGACGGTTACTGAATTAATTTAATTAGTATTCCTTGAATTATCTGAATACATTTAGTAACTGCTCGTGCTTGGTACGAGGAGTTAAAAAACACGGTCATACGCTAAATTCAACAGTCCGGTTTCCAAAAGTTATATGCACATTGTGAGAAATTATTGCAATTTTCAGTCACGCAGGGAAAAATAAATACTACGGCAAACACAAACTTACACGCTTATTTATGTATTTCAAGAATTTACTTATAAAAAATTCAATTCTAACCCACCCAATCTCTTCCGTCTGGTCAATACTTTAAATATTTCCATTGTACTCAAGTTTACTATGCCTCAAATTTTAATGATATATGTACGCAGGGTGGTGTAAAGTTGTGTAAACCGTATTTTTGAATGCATACGAACAACACAATGCCTTTCTGATTGTGCTTTCTGATTGTGCTGATCCCGTTTTAATTACATATTGGAAGAACCATGCATCAGTGTTGACAAGAAACTATCAATACCAGGATCGATAACTAGCAACACAATAACTGTATGCACAAGCATTCTTCCGAATCATTTCCGGGGGTACAAACCGTTGACCGTCGTCCCTGCGGGGTGTCTGCTGAATAATAATAATACACGTCTACGTAGTTGACAAGTAACTCATATTTATTATGCAGTTGTCAAAAATGTACATATGTGATGAACCCAACCCTTGTCTACGACGAATAGCAGGACAACCTCTTCATTGTTTCTCCTACACAAATTATAATACTATATTGTTCATAGCTGCATAGCTTGAACATATTTTAAGAATCTTATTTTAACAATTGGTACGGTGCATATTCATAGGTGAGCAAATAAATCACAAAGGGTCGTTGAAGCTTCCACCATCTCGTACAACAATGGATTAGGCTCTTGCTTCAACGACGAAAGGTTGGACAAAAATCAAAAATATTCTTAACTTGTTGAGACAATAGCGACAAAAATCTCGAATTTTGTTTGAGCTTCCAGTTTGAACTCTGAGAGCCATCTTCGCCACCTTCAACAACTATTGCCATCACCACCGCGCAATTCTTTTCATACTCTCCAAACTCAGAAATTACACTTGCACAATTTTATTCAATTCCAATTTTAAATTTGATAAGCTGGAGGGAAGTTTTTAATTTCTAATCATTAAGTGCTAAAGATCTTAAGGAGAATGGCAGCCAATTTTAATACCGAAACTGTGGAAGAGGATGCGGCGGATTTGTTATTTCCAAAAGGTAATTGCATTCACATGTAAATTTTAGTTTAAAGGTGGATTATTCATGCATTTTGTGACTATTTAAATATAATTCTTGTATTGCAGAATTTGAAAATGCGGAAGCTCTTCTCATCTCTGAAGTAAGTTTGCTGCTGGAACACAGAAGTCAACAGAATGAGAATTCAGAGGATGAGCAGGCTCTGTCCGATGTGTTTCAAAAAACGAGAGAGTATTGTCGCCGATTTGGAAAATTAAAGAACAACGAATCCATCACTCGTGTGCGAGGGTAAGATAACCAGACTGAAATGCAGAGTGATGTTGGATAAACATAATTTGTGAAACTTGTACATTGTAGGCTTTTAATGCAAAAGAAGCTACACAAGTTCGAACTCGTCTCTCTGGCCAATTTATGCCCAGAAACGCCAGAAGAAGCAAAAGCCTTAATTCCAAGGTGAGTCACACATTATGTCGAATAGTTTAGGCATATTTGACATGAAAATTGTTAGTTTTCATTAAACTAAATTTTACTATTTATTTTATATTGACAGTCTGGAAGGTCGATTTGAAGATGACGAGTTGAGAGAAATTTTGGATGATATTCATACAACAATCAGTTTTCAATCCGGTTAATATTTCCTGTAATGTTTATTTAGTTGTATCAAGTAGCGTTGTCATATTATGTTGTGCATTTTCTCCATATGTTTTTTACCTATTGCAATGTTTATATTGGTAACTACATTATTGGTCGGTCAATCCTGTTCCGATCGTTGCGTGTCTTTCTATGATTAAAATTTCCTATTAAAAGTGTAATTATACCTTCAACCTCGCAATCTTGTCAGTTGTCAGAACCTATTTTTGTATTGAGATGGAAGACTGGAATCGCATATATATAGATATTCGCAGCATATCCGCTGAAACCATAATATGAACGATGCGTGTTTTATTTTATTAACGTCATGGAAGGGTTTCCTCATAGCTTGGCAAAATATCACTAAAAGTCCCAGACATGATTTGACAAATTCGACCAAAGATCAAAGTAATCGATACGGGTTCTATTTAGTATCGCAAAAGATAAAATAAAGAAGAATATATATATGACGATGCTCTACTAACTTGGGCAAATAAAATGGGAGAAAGGAGACTTAACAGCAAGCAGTATTTGGATTGGATTAAGGTGAACATAAAGGTAGAGGGGACAACGACTGTTAAAGAGAACAAGGCAGTGCATTCTTCCATCTTTCCCACCCAGCAGGCAGGCCGAATATGCAGGGAGAATTGGAGAGAAGAGAAACTGGAGTTGGGAGAAAGTAAGAGAAAGTGCAAAGGTGATATCCAGTTTCATTGTGCCATCCACTGAACAACTCGTATTTTTTTGCAATTGATGCTCCAACCTTTAAACGTGTACTAATCATAACTAACTACATACATACATATAAATAATCGTCTGACAAGTATTGTGGAGTTCTAAGTATTCTGCATTGATAATATGGGACACCCTATTTATTCCACAAAATCCGGATTACGAATGAACCTTTCTCCTCCATCTATTTTTTTTACAATAGATAAATATTTCCTTCCAGAAGTAGTTTCAGCAAAAAATGATTGCAGCCTTCATGTGGTGACTCTCTTTCTTGTTCCTCGTAAATTTTCCCAAATTCAAAGTGTCCCATTTCCTACTAGTCGATACTCACTCTCTGACTATGGATGGTAGAAAAGTTCTAGTCTTACAGAGTGAAAGCATTGGAGATGATGCATACACAGGTCGCCCGACCTGGTTGGTTCTGGACAATCTGGAGTGAAAGTACAAGGGCCAATTAGCATCGCATGGTGTTGTGTTTCCCATCTATATCGCTACCTTTGCCACTAATAAGTACGTGCACAGGAGCGAGCTGCCTTTCTCATCTATCCATCCATCCATCCGTCGTTCCACCATCATGACGACCTCCTCCACTACAATGCGCATCTCTCTCCATCTCCATCCCATCCACCACCAAAGAAGCTCGAGTCAAGTCATCATTTCACCTTTTCTCTCTTGTCACTCAATGCCTCATCACACTTTCACTTTCATTTCCTGACTCCCTTGTCCCACTTGACCCGAACTGCTCAACAAGGAGGAGGAGGATACGAGAGAGCGAGAGAAAGTCAACTTTCACCTCTCTCCACTCACCCACCTCCATGCATACGCTCGCCTCAACAACAAATCACATTTTGATGGAGCATATAATGATGAAAAGAATAGGTTGCGGATTTAGCCTTAATTCGTTTGGAAAACTTTTCATTCAACCCGTAAAGTACTCAAGGAATGAGAGAGATAAATATGCCTTGTCTCAATTTTTATTAGATTTGGCGGAAACTCGTGCGTGTTGGTATGATTGATTGAATAATGATTTAAATGAGGAGTCTGAAACTTGTAGAAGAAACTGGTAAGTCAACAATTATAACTTTTCGTGTTTTCTCAAGGACGAATATCGGTCGAGAAGAGGAAGAAGTTTGGGAACTCGGGAGAGAAAGCCGGCACGGAGATGATGATGATGAAAGCACCACCACCATCCGTGTGTATCCAGCCCACTTGCTTTGTCAAACCTAGATTGAAGATCCATAATAAAGGTTTCTAACCTTCTCCGTCGTCTCTTTAGGCATGAACCCGTCTCTACTCACGCTCTCAGCAGATCCGCCAAGAAGTGCTCTTCTATACGCAGCCAACTCTTATCTCTCGTTGAATTCATACAAATTTGTATTTATTTAAGAAAAGCAGTCGGTTGTACTCATTTTTCCTAGTTAGCGCTGTCAGTTCGCAAGCATGTACTGGTGCGGAATTTTCATGTCTCACAAAAAGACACACGGTTGCTAGTTTGGGAAGTGGAAAAGGTACGGGAAACGTGGATGAATGCAAGGAAGAAGGAGAAGAAGTCATGTTAATGGGGAATAGATTGTTACCTGGTCGGGTTACCTCTCTCTAAGGGCAGAGCTAAGCAGGGGCTGTGTAGGTGTGTCTGGTGATGCGGAAGGAGTTGGGGAAAGTTGGAGGTTTACTTATTTTATGCCTTGGGATACATTGCTGTGTTCTTTCCCTCTCCCATTTCACTGCCAACATGGTTGATCAACATTATCTTCCTCCACATCCTCCTCCTCCTCACTTTCGCCTCTAAACTCATTTGATTTTATGTTTACAAAACGTATAGCAAAGTAGCAAACAGGTTTCTGGCTGATTTTTTCTTGTCATCCGTTCCTCCTCCGCCAGCAGCTATTTATCTCACACGAGCATTTTCACCTCGACACTTCACATCAACACCGTTGGTGGTAAGAGCAAGTACAAGAGAGTTAAGTGACGACATTTATCGTAGCTCAAATTACGAAGTAGGCATCTCGCCAGTCTTCATGAGGCGAAGTCATGCTGCGCCACAAAATTAAGAAGAACGGAACGTCTCGCAACTTTTAATTGATTTTACGAATAAGCGTTAATTATGGATTGAATGAAAGACTTGCGAAATTGTGCAGTCCCAAATTATTTTAATTACTTGAGCCCGGGTGGTCTTTCCGAATCTTGCAGAGTGTCGAGTATTTATGTAGGATGGATAACATTATGGACGAGTAACTGACGAGTTTGGTATGATTGACTGGAAAATATTTCGTCAAACGAATTTGCTTAGTCTTGATTGGTAATTTGGAGTTTGAATATGTACATAAATGTGTAAACACGTTTTAAAATTGCTGACATTTCCCTCAATCAAGGCAGTTAAATCAAGTTAAGAGTGTCTCGCAAAATTTAATTGACTCTGCTCTTGACACCTGTTCAAGTAATCGTCAAGATGTAGATATAATTTAGACCAAACAATTTTGATAAGTGGGCTGAGATCATGGCTGAATCAACAAAATCGTTTAATCCCAAAATTCAGTTACTCGAACCCGTCAAATGATTAGTTCACATTGATTACTTGATTGAAATTGGACTATTCCTAGCCATAACAGTCAATTGAATGTTGGCTAATGATGATCTTTGACCTTTCCCTTTGATGTTTTCTCATTTTCTCATTGTAATTTAAGCAATAGTTCACTTCATCTCGTTGTTTTCATTCTAACCTAGCAAAACGCAGCGATGAGCATATGAATTTCTGAAGAAAGCAGATTGCATCTGTCCAAATAATACTCTGTTATAAAATTAAAGCACTAGATACGGTTTCAAACTTTGCCTAAGCGAATCTCCTCGTGAACCCACCAACACATTATACCATCCATACCTTCATCATATGCATATTAGTGCATGAGAATTGAGAGCAAATCCAATCTAATTTCTGCTGAATAGGATTGACGAGTGGTAGGAATGATGAGTTTGCAACTTATTGACCAACATGGGAACCGAGAAGAGGAAATTATTCCTTGATTTGAAACTTTCTCATTTCATCAAGAAATAAATTCGAATTAGGAAAAGTCAGTCTCAATAGTAAATTTGCATTTTATTCCACTCCGTGCTTCCGTTTAATAAAATAATTTGTTTTACATTGCGTTTTACATCAAGTCTTCGTGTTCCAGACACTGTTCGTTGCATGTAATGAATATGCAAATTTGTAACATTGTTTCATCCATCCAAATCAACTCTACGTTAGTCGGCGGGATAGAAACTCTCAATGCATGCACTATTTATGAGCAATTTCTCAACGCTTTGTTCCTTGGCCATATTCTTTGTCCAAGTTAAGCTGTATTTCCTGCTGAAGGCTGAAATACCTATAAAAAAGCGGCTGTTAATTGGATGAATGCACGACCTCGGATGACACAAACTGTTGCCCCGCCCATCAACTACGGATGTTCCGATTTGCAGGAGTCATATTGAGTGCGTTACTTCCTTGTTTAAAGGCCTAGATTTTTGTTGTGTGCAAAACCTGTGGCCTCCGTCAGGGAACCTTAATAAACAATTCGCTGTGTATTCTGTGTGTCCTCCGGCGAATCCAAACTGGAGCTGTCTGCAAAGTATGAACCCCCAACCAAATGACAGGAGAGAGTTGTTTTCCAGGTGAAAGTAATGAAAACAGAGCGGTTGGCTGGTGGACTCATCGAAACTCTCTCCCTGAGAGACAGACCGTAAACTTGCATAAAATCCAGGTCTGTGTGAATATCCAGTGAAAAGTTGAATGTTGACTCGGATGCTCGTTTTGGTTTTCATCCTATTTCAACTCAGCCTAGACCTGTCTGGGCGAGTTCTTTATCTCACTTTACTGACTTTAACCACTGTTTAGGCTACATTCCCAGTCTCGGTTTACATTTGCATCATATAATCATCAACTTATGGCTAGAAACTGCCAACAACCTCAAGAGATGGTAAATCTTAAAATATACATACATACAAAAGCGCAAGGAGTGATTGACTGTAGAGTTACACACAAATCTGATTGCACCCAAAACGAGTCATCCAACTCGAGGAATAATTAATACACAGTCACGGGCATAGTAATCACTCGAACCAAACGAAATAATCGACATATAATCGTAAAACTCGCACGCAACCCTTCGTTTGATTGGACACGTAGTGACAATGTGATACGTATCAGTCTTGCCACACGTTCCAGGTCCATCCATTTCACCGAAGCAAGTGGCCCACTCGCCGCCAAAAGTGAAAGTGAAGCAAGGAAACTGAAAGAAGATGACGGATTGCATTTATGTAGATATGGGCGTCATGCACATTAGCAATAAAATGTGAAAGTATCAGGTAGTCGTACGGAGGGTCATGCGGTGGACGGGGAATGAATACAAGCGAAAGGAGTTGAATTCCACCCAACACAAAGCACATGCACATGGACGTGGGCTGTGTGGTGGTTGAGTAGTAAGTAGTGGAACG